GTGTACTTTTGAGTTGCGTTCATCATAGTTATTTTAAGTATATTTTTTTTGTATCATCAACAATACTTTATCAGTTAATTTAGTCCATCAGACTTTGGTTTTTGTAAACCATATATGGCCATATAAGGGTGCACCAAAATTACAGATCAAACATTTATTATTACAAACATTTATTAATACATGCAAAGTGATCATTTCAACATCGGTGAACAAATATAACTGATTTATTTTTTTTATAAACTTGACTTTTAATAACCACCCTTAATCTCTAGTAAGATTGTGTCTGGCTTACTTAGATTTCAACAACTGGCCATAATAAGACACTGGCGCCCAATTTTGGATTTATGTTAGTAAAAACACGTAAGTATTAAGAAACAACATTTGCCCATCGACCCATCTCACCACTGTAAAGCTGCCGTTAGCCATAGCCCTCGAGTTGAGGTTACAAGATAAGAAAAGTAATCCAGAATATAAATTATAACCCTTTTTACATTTTTGAATCATCACCACAATAAAAATGGAAAAACCATGAAATTGACTAGAACTTTGATTTTGACCTCGAATAACTTTTGAATCAGTCAAGTTAGCAAAAAATCACAAGAAACCTTTTTTGTAGAGCGTTAAATTTTCTACAAGAATATTTATGCTTCTATATAATCCCTTTATTAGTTCATGACTTAAAAAAATCCAAATTAATAACAGAACTTTTCCCATGTTATTTCCATTTAAAACTTTGGCTGTCGTGGGGGCCGGCTTAATTTTAAAATTAAGAGCTGCAATTTGGCACATTTTTTTTATATATTTGGAACCTATTTAGGACTATCGTGAAGAAAAATTCGAACACACCCTAAATAAGGACCACCCTAATATATATTATATATATATATTAGGGTGTTCCTTATTTAGGGGTCGGAAAAAATTTAACAGAGGCGCCCCCCAAATCGGTTCCAAATCATAAATAAAAAATTCCTGCAAAATTTTAGGTCAATCGGTTAAAGGAAACACGTGCCCCACAGGGGTTTTTTAATAAATAATTGAGAAAATTCGGAAGGCTGATATAACTCCGAAACGGTCCATCGTAGGAAAAAAAAGTGTATATAAATTTTATGTGTTTTTTTTAGATAAACAACTTTCCCAATAACAGTCCTGCGTTAAAAAAATTTATTCGGGGTCAAAACGCGATAAAACGATTTTTTGTGTACTTTAGCGCTACCTACTTTTTGAATTTTCTGTCCTAGAGCATCCACCCAATTACATAAATTGTAGGGGACAATGCACCCTACATTTTTTGTTAACAAAATTTTTTTCTTAAACTAACCGATTTTGAAAAAAATTAAATCCAAAACACGTTGTGCTCCGAAACTCCGAAACGGTTTATCGTAGTAACAAAAAGTTAAAATATATTTTGTAGTTTTTTTCAAGCTAATCAACTTTCCTAATGCCTTTGTCACAATAGTGTTAATGTTAATGGTAATGTTAATAAAGCATAGACAAATGCGTGTATCAACGTAACCATCAACATTACCATCATTGTGAACGGATACACGCATATTTCTATGCTTTGGGTATTAACATTAACATTACTCTTAACATTAACACTATTGTGAGGTATAATAATAGTGCTGCGTTAAAAAAAAATCGAGTTCAAAAAGCGATACAACGCTTTTTTTGGTACTTTGGCCCTACCTACTTCTAAATTTTTTTGTTCTAGAGCATCGGCTCAATAACATAAATTGTAGGGACTACATTTTTTGATTAAAGTTTTTTTTCTAAATCTTATCGTTTTTGAGAAAAATAAAATATAAAAAAACAAAAATTGAGTTTTCTCCTTAATCCGGAGTAGGTTAACGCAGTTGAGTTTAGGCTTTTCTTATAAGGCCACAATGATTCACGCAAAAAAATCTTGCAAAATTTAAGATTAATCCGTCAAAACTAACACGTACGCACTTGTTATTTTTGCCGATTAACCTCAAATTTTGCGAAATTTTTTTTTGCGTGAATCATTGTGGCCTTATAAGAAAAGCCTAAACTCAACTGCGTTATCCTACTCCGGATTAAGGAGAAAACTCAATTTTTGTTTTTTTATATTTTATTTTTCTTAAAAACGATAAGATTTAGAAAATAATTTTTAGTCAAAAAATGTAGTCCCTACAATTTATGTTATTGAGTCGATGCTCTAGAACAAAAAAAGCGTTGTATCGCTTTTTGAACTCGATTTTTTTTTAACGCAGCACTATTATTATACCTCACAATAGTGTTAATGATAATAGTAATGTTATTGTTAATACCCAAAGCATAGAAATATGCGTGTATCCGTTCACAATGATGGTAATGTTGATGGTTACGTTGATACACGCATTTGTCTATGCTTTATTAACATTACCATTAACATTAACACTATTGTGACAAAGGCATTAGAAAAGTTGATTAGCTTGAAAAAAACTACAAAATATATTTTAACTTTTTTTTACTACGATAAACCGTTTCGAAGTTTCGGAGCACAACGTGTTTTTGGTGAAAACTCAAAAAGTTTTGGATTTAATTTTTTTCAAAATCGGTTAGTTTAAGAAAAAAATTTTGTTAGCAAAAAATGTAGAGTGCATTGTCCCCTACAATTTATGTCATTGGGTCGATGCTCTAGGACAGAAAATTCAAAAAGTAGGTAGCGCTAAAGTACACAAAAAAGCGTTTTATCGCGTTTTCACCCCGAATAAATTTTTTTAACGCAGAACTGTTATTACGAAAGTTTTTTATCTAAAAAGAACACATAAAATTTATATACACTTTTTTTTCCTACGATGGACCGTTTCGGAGTTATATCAGCCTTCCGAATTTTCTCAATTATTTATTAAAAAACCCCTGTGGGGTACGTGTTCCCTTTGACCGATTGACCTAAAATTTTGCAGGAATTTTTTTTTATGATTTGAAACCGATTTGGGGGGCGGCTCTGTTAAATTTTTTCCGACCCCTAAATAAGGAACACCCTAATATATATATATATACGAGCCCTAACCACATAATGTTCGGACACTTCATAATTTATACAGAAATTTTTTTCGTGAATACTATCTCAAAATTATTAGAAGTTATGAAAAATTCAGCTTATTTTGGCATATACCCCTCGAAGCAATTTTTATTTTTAAAAAGTTTACCTTTTATTTTTAGCTTTTAAAAAAAGGCTAACTTTTTAACTTTTTTTTGCATGAGTAAAAAAAGTTATAAATGGGCCCATTAAAAAGAACATAAAATATTATACAAACCCTGAAAATTTGGTAAAAATTGTATAAATAATAAGAAAGTTATAGCGATATATATATCTGCAAAATCTCCCGTTTCCTAAGAAAATTGCAAAAACTCTTTAAAAATAGCATTTTTAAATTACTTATACTTTTTTATAACTTATTTTATTTTTACCAAATTTTCAGGGTTTGTATAATATTTTATGCTCTTTTTAATGGGTCCATTTATAACTTTTTTTACTCATACAAAAAAAAGTTAAAAAGTTAGCCTTTTTTTAAAAGCTAAAAATAAAAGGTAAACTTTTTAAAAATAAAAATCGCTTCGAGGGGTATATGCCAAAATAAGCTGAATTTTTCATAACTTCTAATAATTTTGAGATAGTATTCACGAAAAAAATTTCTGTATAAATTATGAAGTGTCCGAACATTATGTGGTTAGGGCTCGTATCTATATATATACTATAGGTCATGTGATACCTTGTTCGAAATATCTAAAGTTTCTCTTATTTTCATGAAAAACGCATTTAAACGGGAGCAACTAGTAATTGTTATGTAAAAACAAAATTAGTAAAATCGTTTATGATTTTGTATAAAAAATTAAGATTTTGCTCTTGTGAACCTGCCCTCATTGCAATTACATGTAATCTACGGTGTTACCATCAAATATGGTAAAATTGTTTAATTGTGCCTAAGGTTTTTGTATTAGATTGTAATGTTTATGTTGCAATTTTTTGTCACCACGTTTTTATCAATTCAATAAAAAAAGTTTATTTTTTTGCGTTTCATATGGAAGGTAACGAATTCGGTTTACCAGTCAACAAAATCAATTCGTCAGTATTGTTTCTGGTGCACAAAATCAAAGTGCCTACAGAATTGCTGCGGAGTTCTGAGTGAGACATCCATATAAAAACTTGTGTGACAATAAAGTGGACAAATTTAGAAAAACTAGATCGGTTAAAAATAAAAAAGAGATCAACCTGGAATTTTTAAATATATGTCAATATTTTTAAAAAATAATTACTTAAAAGCGTAGAAACAAACACAAATTTAAGACATAATGCAACAACCAAAAAGAAAAATTGAAGGTACTCGTACAGTTTGCAATTTTCCCTTCTATGTCACTTCTGCAAGCATCCAGAGAAACAGGCCTTTTAAAAACATCTTTTTGGAGGGTATTAAAAAAACAAAAAACTACCCTTATAAAATGAAGCGTTAGGTGATGATGATCCAGGTCGAAGAGTCAAGTTTTGTGAATTTTTGAGAATAAATAAAGATGGTCGAAAAATCCTTTTGTAATTTCAATATAAAGTCGATGCGAACAACTTTCGTAAAATAATCAATTTTAGCTTAACAATATTAACAAAAAAAAAAAAAGAAAAGCATTAAAACTCGAAAGAAGTATAACTTTTACCATTTAATAAATATATATATTAAATCGTATATTTCAAAAAATCTTACCAACCTCACTTTTTCCCAATTTAAAACTAGATGAGTTTATTATTCCCGTTGTTAGGCGGGGCGGTTATAATGGTTACCATTATATACAGAAAAGCCAAAATTCTTAATTTTAAGGCTTTACTAGGTATTATTAGTGCTGCTTTATATATGTTATGCAATATATACAAAATTATATCTACGTTGAGATTAAATATTTTATAACAATACTGTTATAATTAATAATATTAATTAACTAATAAAAAACCTTTTGATTTAAAATAATAATTCTTGGTACAACTTTCTTGTTCATTGTTATTGACTTACTTGTGGTGTTAATTCAACTTCTAATTCTCCACTTAAAAACTGTTTTTCAAATTCGGCATTTTCACCTACATAGGAAGATATCATTCTTTTAATTTTCTTTTGTTTTAAAATTAATCCCAAACCAAAATTATCAACGCCAGCATTGTTAGACACAACAGTTAAATTCTTAACATTATGTTTTAATAAGCCAGAAATTAAATTTTCGGGAATACCGCATAATCCAAAACCTAAAATTATAAATTAGAATTAAGTTACGTTTGTCACCAGAAAAACTATGCAAAATATATACCAAATGCTTATTTTCCTTTGTGAAGTTTTATAATAATATCATATAATATTTATTAATTAATAAGAATGATAAGTGAGGTTTTAATTATTTTTCTTTTTTTTTATACAAAAACATAAATTCGTCATTTTTTCTGGAAAGACTTTAATTTATTTTGGTTTTAATTTTCCAAATCCCATAGTGGAGAAAGATAAGTTTATATTTTTTATATTTATTTAGATAATTTTTATAGTTGGGCAATGACAGGGCACATCTACCTAACTACCCTCAACATTCCCTAAACTCTACAAAAGTTTACATGGTCCTTCGAACTCAAAAATAATCAGTGAGCGGTTAGCAAGACCAGGGTTTTCTTTCCTGCACTCACTTACTGATTATAATATAAGCCAACCAGGGTAACAAACCCTTAAATTCAGTGGGCGGTAAGCAAGACCAGGGGTTTCTTCCCTACACTTACCCACAGACTAATAGTGCCAATTCACACCCGGGTGTTCCTTCCTTCCTGCACCCTCTCTTAAACTTCCCTAAATTCTACAAGAAGACATCCCACAAACTAAAAACAGCAACATCAAAACCCAGCACAATGGAGGAAACCAACAAAATAGTGCCCAATATATTACGGAAAGGACAGCCAAAATCGACGAATTAGTACAACAATGTGCAGAAAACAACAAGAAGTTAGAATAATTGAAGTGTACCTCCCACGTATACTTTACTACTAAGTATTATGAACAAATGCTAAACAAGGCAGAAGAGACTAGAAAATACCTGTCGACTTGTGCCAAACAAACAGAATTACAAAGTGAAACAAACAACGAACAAATTATTAGACTCCGTAAACAAAAACTACGCCTAAACTCCTTAAAACGCAACTTAGAGAGTTTAGGAACAGAACTTATAGTAGATAAACCAAAGTACAGATATGAAAATCTGATGAAAAAACTGTCGAGCCAGTGGACTTCACGAAGAGCTGATAGTTCACGAAGACGAATTTACTGACCAGTACTTCCTGGACGAACAATTTGAAGAAATAGAACTACTTTATGATGAATATGTGGAGAAACTAGAAAAAAGAATAGCAGAAAGCAACAATGAGAGTAAACCAAACCTCCCATTACCAAAAATACAACTTCCACACTTCAAAGGCGGATACGAAAACTGGAAACAACAATAAATCAAACTATTAAAATGGTACAAGAAAAAGCAATGACAGATGATCTACGAGCGCTTAAAAACAAAACAAGCGTTAACAAAAGCAGCCGTACCGCCAACTTAAGTCCATTTTTGGACGGTATCATTAGAGTTGGAGGACGACTAAGAAATTGTCTACTTCCATTCGAGCAAAAACATCCCATCATATTACCGTACGACAGTCATCTAACAACACTAATTATCAGAGATGCACACGAAGAAACCCTACCCGGAGGAAACACATTGGTATTATCATATATACGTCAAAAGTACTGGATCATAAATGGAAAGAACAAAATACGTTTTCTGATCCACAAATGTCCAATCTGCATTCGACATAAAGCACAAACAGCAAAACAACTGATGGGCGATCTCACGTTCACGAAGACGAATTTACTGACCAGTACTTCCAGGAGAACAATTTGAAGAAATAGAACTACTTTATGATGAATATGTGGAGAAACTAGAAAAAAGAATAGCAGAAAGCAACAATGAGAGTAAACCAAACCTCTCATTACCAAAAATACAACTTCCACACTTCAAAGGCGGATACGAAAACTGGGCCACATTTCATGACATATTTAGTAAGGTCATTCACGAGAAAAAGACAATCTCACGCATTGAAAAAATGCAATATCTAAAAGCGCATGTCAGAGAAGAAGCCAGCCGACTGATCCAACATCTTCATATTACCGATGTAAATTATGAAGCAGCCTGGGGACAAAAAACGATACGAAAATACACGAATAATAGTTAGCAAACTAGTGGATCAAATCCTGGATCTTCCAAAAACTCCAGGTGAAAACAATTACAAAGATTACATGATGTAACAAATGAATGTCTCAAAGAAATTGACATTGATTGGAAGAATTATCAGTAGAAAATGGGATGAAGAAACGAACAGGCTCTACGAACAATCGTTAGAAAACCCGGCCCAAGTTCAAACACTAGCTTCGATAATGAGCTTCTTAGAAAGAAGATTCCAATCGTTAGAAGCAACAAAAAATTACACAAAACCGATGTTTCACAAAAACACGCATAACACTTCCAACCTGAACTACAAGACAAAGGAAAGAACACTATTATGCACCATGTGCCAACAAACGCAGGCCATAGTAAGATGTCCAAAATTCCTGTCGATGAATGTGGCAGAGCGAAACGAATTTGTCAAGTCACAGAAACTGTGCTACAATTGTCTTGGTCACAGTTCGGAAGAGACTTGCTACAGCAAATGGAGTTGCAGAACATGTAAGAAACAGCACCACACATATTTACATACGGAAAAACAACCACAAAAATATGTAAACAAATCATTTGGATCAAAACAAGATAGTCAAACAAAAATAACAAACTATCAAACAACAACGAATAAACATCAAGAAGAACGTGCAGTTCTTTTGGCCATAGCTGTAGTCCGAGTCAAGGCAATAAATGGAAGCATGGAATATTTACGAGTTTTGATCGATTCACAGGCTGCCCTTATAAAAGAAGAAGCAGCTCAACTATTGGGATATCCTCGGCAGAAAATAACCGCAGAAGTCACTGGTTTGGGAGACAGTCCAAAACAATCCAAGTTAAAAATTCAGTGTGAGATCGAATCCCGATTCCCGAGCAATTTCTCACTATCAGTAAATTTCATAGTATTGCCAACCTTAACACAAAAACTACCGAGCGAACCAATGATGCCTGAAATTCCAACCAATTGGAAGAATTACCCACTTGCTGACCCAACATTTCATCATCCTGGACCAATTGATGCCATTCTAGAAGAAGTTAGCCACATTCTCCAAAAGGGCCTAGAGAGATCTAACGATGGATTACTTGGTCAAGAAACTACTTTGGGATGGATTTTATCAGGCAGCATAAGAAAAAGCCCAGCAGTAAAAATTTTAAGCATGGTTAGCCGCGTAGAAGATAAACAACTGACAAAATTTTGGGACATTGAAGAGGTGACAAATTATCAACCCCGCCCATTGTCTCAGAATAATATAGATTGCGAAGCACAACACAACAAGACTATCAAACGAAACAAAGATGGGACTTACACAGTCAATACACCATTTAAAGAACATCCACCAAATCTAGGTGATTCGAAACCAAAAGCCATAGCCGTTTAATGCAGCTCGAAAAGTCGAAGCTTAACAAGCCACCAAACCAGAACTTAAAAGAACAATACAAAAACTTCACATGAAGCCAGTCAAACCAGAGAAAATAAATGAAGGAAGATATTATATCCCTCATTAGCCCGTCATACGAGAAAGCAGTTCAACAACGAAACTAAGAGTGGTATTCGATGCATCATCAAAGACCACAAATGGAAGGAGCCTCAACGAGACGATGCCCAAGACTTCAAGAAGAACTGACTGATATTTTACTACGATGGAGAAAACACAAGGTAGTATTTACCGCTGACGTCGAAAAAATGTATCGACAAATACATTTATCTGAAGATGATCAACACTATTATCGAATATTATGGAGATTCGATACAAACCAACCAATAACAGAGTAGGCTTTAACAACCGTGACATACGGAACAGCAGCCGCGCCGTACCTAGCAATAAAAACATTGCAAAGGTTGGCAATTGACGAAGCAACAAAATTTCCGAAAGCATCAACCGTGGCTCTTTGAGACTTCTATGTAGATGATCTAATGACCGGATGCGATTCAAATGAAGCAGCCAAACACCTTCAAGACGAAATCATTACCTTGCTTCAATCTGGAGGATTCAATCTTAGAAAATGGTCAAGCAACAAAACAGAGCTAGTATTCCATCTAATAAATGAACTTCAAGAACTAAAATGCTCAGAAATAATGGAAGATGATGTGAAGAAAGCGCTAGGTGTACACAGGGCCCCTGCTGATGATACATTTCGATTTAAAGTAGAAATAACAGAACAAACCAAAATAACAAAAAGAACAATACTCTCCGAAGTGGGATGTATATCGCCAGTTGTGGTAAAAGCAAAACTACTTATTCAAGAACTATGGATTAACAATCTTAAATGGGATCAACAAGTACCTCCAAAGATAAAAGATAAATGGTATAAATTCTATAAATAACTGAAAAGTGTCGAAGATATTCATATTTTCCGATGGATTCACTACTCCCCAACAAACAAAGATCAAATTCAACTCCACGGCTTTTGTGACGCATCAGAAGTGGCATACGGAGGAGTTGTATATACAAGAACGACTAACAAATTTGGAAAAAGTCAGGTGACGCTCCTAGTCGCAAAATCAAAAATAGCACCTGCAAGAAGCAAACAGTCAATGCCACGGCTAGAATTATGTGCTGCAGTATTACTAGCTAAACTAATGAAAAAAACGGTAGCTGCTCTAGGCATCACTGAAATAAGACAATTTGCCTGGACAGACTCCATGATTACGCTCGCTTGGATAAAAGGCGATCCAACAAGATGGAAGACCTTTGTTGCCAATAGAACATGCGAAATACAACAATTATTGCCGCCAGAACACTGGCAACACGTAAGAACAGAAGAAAATCCTGCAGATATAATCTCGAGAGGTTTAGAACCGGCAAAAATCAAGGATTCAGCACTATGGAGGAATGGACCAGGCTGGCTAAATTCCGCAGAAAAATGGCCCAAGAATGAAATTTCAGAAACTCAAATAATGCAAAAGACATGCCTAAAAGTAACCGTAGAGAAGGAAACTGATACTACCATAATAGATCGCTTCTCATCTCTCAAACGGATGATCCGAACTATATCGTATGCTCACCGATT